AAAGATTTAAAAAAGTATATATAATAAGAATTAAAAGATCCAAATACAAGTTTTTAGCAATAATTTAAGTAAAAAAATTAGAATAAAGAAGTATTTTGTGATATATATCAGTTAATAGAAATAAACTAATAAGAGTAATATAAAGAAAAGAAGACTACAAAGCAATATAAAAATAAAGCCAATATATAGTAAAACTAACAAAGCTGCTAAGTAATATTTTAGAAATCTTATTATTATAATGTTTAACAAATAAAGATATAAAATTAGAGTGTGGCAACTTAGTAAAATGGAAAAGTTGACATATTTCCAAGTAGTAGGTAGTGAGTTCAAAACCCATCAACAGCAAAATTTAGATAATCACTTATGTAATATACAGACAGTATTACAGCAACAGCATTCTGTTGATCAGTTGGGATAGAATACTTGTAACTATAGTCGCATCAGCATGACTGGCAGGTCTGGGGCATCTGTGTAATCTGTTACACAGAGGAATGCAAACTGGTACCAAATGGTACAAACCTAAAATAAGTCCTTGGGCCATGTAAATCTGTAAAACTGAGAAACTGAAGCCCACTTGAAAATTCTGAGCAAAGAGATAATATGGATCTTTAATGGTACTACTATAAAGACTAGACCTAGGAAATGGATACCAATATGAAGGATTCAGGTGGGCAAGAACCTCAGGTGAAAGGTATTACCAATCAGGCTGCTGGATTTCAGACTGAAGAAAAAGAATATTGGGCCAGTCTCAATATACCAAAGACAGATCATAATCCTTTCAGACTATTTAAATTAGGAGTCTGGGCTCAAAGCAGGGGTATACTAAAAGTACTAGGTATATGTTATGAAATTAGTACTGAGGTCTGGATGAACTCTATAAAGGTAGTTTATGTTAGTATTCTAAAAGTAGATAGATAGTTAACAATAGAGGGCCTCCTGCACTTTACTAGCAGATAATGTACTTTAAAATGTGTAATGGCCTAGGAACTAGTACAAAAAGGATAGGTAACCATACTGCTTAGATGGTATACTAGTTAGGTATATACAGAGGGTTAATTGGTGATTCCAATATGACAAGGCAGATGATTAGAAGGTTTAAAATAGATAATCTTCTAGTAGATTATAGGTACAGCATCTAGTATAGAACCTTAGAGTGGACTACTTAAATAGGTAACCAAAAGTTGCATGTGTGACTAGCTGTACTCTCATTTCTGTAAAAATAGTTATAATAGCTAACCCAATATAAGTCAATAAAGTATTGCCACAAGTATAGCCTTTAACAAAAAAAAAAAAGATATAAAATTAGTTTAAATTCTACCAAATAGAAATAAGAACTAAAGAAGAACTATAATAATTATCTTTACAACAAAAAAAAAATAAAGATAACTTAATTAAAACTAATTATATACAACAACTTCTAAGTATTTTGATAAATAAAAATAAAAAAAAAGTTTTAAAAAAAGAAAAAAAAATGCTAAGAAAAAATTATTCAAAATCTAAACAAAAAGTATACAAAAATAGAAACTAATTTTTAGATATAGTATATAGAAAAATAGTTAAAAAATAAAAATACCAATACAAAAAAAGAAGAAAATTAAAACAAAACTGTTAAAACCAAAATAAAAAATAATTCAAAATACAAAACATAGAAGAATAATATAGAAAAAAAAGATAGCTGCAGATATGCACTAGTTTATTATCTAATTATACTAATTTTTTAATTATTAATTAATATATAAGTATATAATATAACATAAACTGGTTAATATCAAAAAGAACTTTCTAAAGTTTAAAGTTTTATTGCCAACTTAAGTATATAGAGTTGTTATTAAATATAAAGGTTTAATAATATAATATATTGTAATAGTATTTTATTATTCATGTTCTATTAACTTGTATAAACTTTTATAAACTTTTATAAACTTTTACAAACTTTTATTTATTAATAAATCTTATTTGCACTCATAATGAAATTCTGCTTATTTATACTATAATTTATAATTTAAATTATTTTTAATATACTTAATAAGAATATTTGAATGCATAACTTATTAGTCATAAGTTTTTACTTTTATATACTTATTTATATTAATGTTGTATTCTAATAAATAATGCAAAAAAAAAAAATTAATTTAAAAAGTCAAATAAGAAATATTTTAAAAACCTTAATATTTATTTTTATTATTATATATGCTATGTTTATCATATTTTCATTTTTAGTTTTTGAAGTAAAAGCAATAATAAAACTAGAATAAAAAAAATTTAAAATAGATAAATAAAATTAAAATAAAATTAAAATTAAAAAAATTTAAAATCAAATTTTTAACTTTGTATTAAAAGAAAAATTAATCTATTCTAGTATATTAGTTAAAAAATTAAATATTTTATAAAAGAATAATCTAAAAAACTTTTTAAGAGATGTAATGATTTAGTAAAGTAGATAAGTTGTCAATCCTTCAAGTGATAGATTAGGAGTTCAAAACCTATTGATAGTAAAAATTTGAAAAACTACCTATGTTATATTAGTATTAAAAAAGATAAGTAATATTATAACAATAGCATTTCATCAATCAGTTGGAATCAGATACCTGTAATACAATCACATCAGCATAACTGACAGATCATAAAACATCTGTACTATATTAGTATTATACAGAGAAATGCAAACCAGTATTAGGTAATTCAAACTCAAGATAAGTTCTTATAATTATATAAATCCATAAACTAGAAAACTGAAGCCTACTTAAAAAGACCTAAGTAGAAAAGTAATACAGATCTTTAACAGTATTACTATAAAGGCTAAATCTAGAAAACAGATATTAATATAGAAAGAATTAAGCAAACAAGAACCTTAGATGAAGGATATCATTAACTAGACTGCCAGAAGTCTCAAACTAAAGAAAAAAAACTTTGAAGGACAGACTCTAAGGTACCAGAAATAGGTCATAGTTCTACTGAACTATCTGGATTGGGAGTCTAGGATTAGAAGCAGAGATAAACTATAAGTACTAGGAATATGCTATAAAATTAATGCTAGAGTCTGAGTAAACTTTACAAAGGTAAGTTCTGTTAACAAAAAGATTAAATATGAATAGTTAGTTAGCAAAAGAACTCTTTAAAGCTTTATAGTCAGGTAATATATTCTGAAATATATAACAGCTTGACAGATATACAGAAAGGAAGGTCATAATTAGGTTAGACAACACTTAGATATATGAGAACTTGTATGCTATTTGTTAATATAAGTATAAAGATCAAAGTGTTTAAATAAGTAATCTTCTAGTAAATTGCAGATATGACAACTAGTATAGAACCTGCTATGTGAATGAAATACTTAAAATAAACAACCAAAAATTGTACATGTGACTAGTTGAATACTCACCTTGTACAAGTTATATAATCATAATTAAAATACAATAAATACAATAGCCACTAATAACTATGACCTTAATATAAGCAAAAAAAAAAAAAAAACTTTTTAATTTGTACACTATAGTAGATCTACAGTGTTTGAATAAAAAAAAACATTACTAGTAAGTTATACTGCTAACTATATATAACAGAACTAATAGTTCTTCTAGTAAACAAGTTTTTAAAATTTTTAATAAGGTTTGAACAAGTTGATATATAAATTTTATATAGTATTAACCTATAAGTAAATACATAATTATATAACAAGTTTTACCCTATCATGTTATGTAAATTCTAATTTTAAATCTATCTGATCTAATAATGCAACCAGCTGATCTGTATAACCAAAAATCTTTAAACTGTTATATCTAATTATTTTATTATAAAAATAAAAATTTTATTATTAAACAAAAAATATACTAAACATATCAAAGATTATAATAAATATAAATCTCAAATTTGAAAAATTTTTGATTTGTCCCTTTTTTATTGACTCTCCCCCATATGTCTATATGAACATGTGCCTAACAAAAATGTTAATAAAGTCAAAAGACCAAAAAAATTACCTTAATACCAAAAAAAAAAAAACTTGTTAAAAGTATACCTTGTCATATTTCTGCCCTAATGATACTCTATATAGTATTAATATCTGTAAATAATAGGTTTTTTTTATTTTACTATTAAAAAAAATTCAACACAAATTATTAAATGAGTTGTCAAGAAATTGCAGTTATAATAACTTGTAAAAAAACTTTGTAATTGTAAAATTCCGGTGACCTTTGTCAGGGGAATGTACGTACATACATAGTTTAAATCTTTTTAATTAGAACCCCTTAATGTTTTTTACTGAATTTAGGTAATATCAGTAATATCAGAAAGAACTAATGCGTTCCACGTCATTACGCTTCCAAAGAAAATTCTGGCATCTCGTTGAATATAAAAATATCATTTGGATTTTTAATCGATCATCATTTTAATCATCATCAAATATATGCCGGTATGTTGAAGTGGAAGAAGTTAAGTGGATTTGGAATTTTTATATAAAACCTCATTTTTGGGGTTGATTTTGTCATATAAACACCCTAACCTAACCCAAATCCACTTAAGTTCCATTCCCACTTACGACAAATATACCAAAGTAACTGGACTGTGGCCTTTTTTTACTATCTCCGCTAATATTGAATTTCTAAAATTATTTATTATATCTAGCGTAAGTGTTAAGTGATAATCAAAAGTATATCAAGGTCACTGTCCAGTTATTTTTCACCAACCCGGTATATTTGATATTAAAATGAAGTAGATCATAGGCAAAATTATTCTACGTATTTCTTTTTTGTAAAGTTTGATCGATTAAAAATCCAAATGCTATTTTTATATTTAACAAGATGCCTTTAGAATATCTTTTGGAAGCGTAATTACGTGGAACGCATTAGTTCTCCCTAATATTACCAAATCCAGTAAAAAACATTAAGGGGTTCTAATTAAAAAGATTTAAACTATGTACGTACGTACGGGCGTAACTAATCGAGCTCAGTACGTTTTCCTTTTAATATATCATATATCATTTATCATTTTGATTAAATTTTAATATGTCGTCAAAGCCACGTCCAGCAGTTCCTCCAAAGCCTGCAAGACTTTCAACAAGTTCTCAAAAACGAGTCTCTTCGGTTAGTTCAGAAAGGTTAACGTCTAATGAGGAACTATTGTCCGAATCGCCACGATCCGCTTTTTCCTTGTTAAATAGCGAAGACGATAAGACACCTAGAGCTTCTGAAATGTTCCCGCCAACTTCGACTGGTCGACAGGCCAGAGCATTATATGACTTTGTGGGTGAAGCAGCTTACTCCGAGTTATCTTTTCGAGCTGGTGAAGTTCTTAACGTTATAAAAGGCCAACTTTCCGATGGGTGGTCTCTAGCCGAAAAGGATGGCGTAACTGGGCTCGTTCCTGAAGCTTATATTACAGTATGTTTTTTATATGTTAATCTATGATGTTTCTACTAGTTTTTGTAGTCGATCATTATTTATCGACTTGACTAAGGGTGTTCTCAAGCGGTTCCCTCAATGTGATTAGTTAGTGATCGAGATGTTACTCAACATTACGATTAATTGAGTGGCTATTGCGGCTAATCGAAGAACGAATTGTTAAAAATTCATTGTTCGAAATGCGGAATTTAAATTTAGCCAATCAGAGCAGTTCTATGAAAAAAATTGGTGGTCGTAGCTCTAAGTTTTTTTGACCTAAGTGATACTCGCGATCGGTTTTTCGGCCAATCAGATCGTTTTGTAAACACTTTGAGGGAAATACTTGAGAACAGCCGGCCTAAGT